TTAGAAAGTGTAAGGAACAAGGGAACTCCCCTCAAAGCTCAAGGTACAACACAACTTAAAGATTGACTAGTCAAATACTAGTCCTTGAGTATTAAAAATCAGGATTTTAGGAATTAATTCCTCAAATGAAATATGATTAATTACTCAATTAATCCATGGATTGAATGTGGATTTTTGGGGGGTCACACTTTGTGTGTATAGACTTTTAATAAAATAAAAAAAAAATGTGTGTGTCAACGGTGCCCATGTGTCAATCTGTCCGTTGTAGCAAACATACTAGGTTGGCCATGCCAGCCCAAATAGGTAGAGCCTAGATTGGACTTCGGGCTAATTCGTCCGTTTGACATTTCTAAACTGACATGGTAACCAATGAATTGAAAAAGATTTATTTATTCACTATATGGAAATAAATTTTTATCCTAATTTAATTTGGTCAATTCGTTAATATTAGAGGAATATCAAAATTTGTAATACTTATCTGGAGATATTTTTTCCTAATTTGAAATAATCTCTATGTTTAATTTATTATAACATGTTTTAAGGAAATCTATATCTATCTATATATATATAAAAATAAAATCCTCCTTCTAACATTTTCCCGCTCAAACTCATTATATTAATTATGGTAATAGAATTAATTAATCATTGAATAATATGGCAAAAAACGGAATATTGCATAAAGTATCATAATATAGAATAATTAATTAGAATAATATTATTATGGTAATACACAAAATTATGGTCATTATATATTTAATCCAATTATTCCAATATCAGGTAGTTATAGCATATATATGGGTATTACCGTGTATATAAAATATATAGGTAGTACCGTGTATATTAATCTACATTTCACATATCATCCGTGTATATAAAATATAGGTAATGATTAGGTAGTAGTGCATGACTAATTACCTTAATTAAATATAAATTAGGTTACTATAAATCTGTGCATAGCATATATTAGATTATATTGCATATTTACCATATATGCATATTAGGATGGTATATTAAGCAGAGTAATAGGTGTAGTATTTATTAGAAGTTATTTTAGTAAAAATAATTTATTTTATTAATTAACCATATATATTTTCGTAAAATTAGCAATCAATTATTATTACATATTATATATTCCGCAATTCTCTTCTCCCACCTCCACTCTATCCTATGCGCAAAGCTCAAGCGCTTATGTCTGTTGTACATCAACCACTAGCGGACGCCGTAGATTTTTAATTCTACTATCATTTTGTGTATGTCTTATGCGACGTCGTTCCTTCTGCTCCATAGTTTTTCTGGCTTTAATTCATCTTGCTTTTAACGTTGCAGCAGATGACGAATTGTAAGGAGAGAAACAAAGGTTGATCTGTGATTTCCACGGGTGAGTTTTTCATTATCTTAGTTTTTTTTTTTCTTTGTGGGTTTTGTGTGTTTTTTCCCTTAGATTTCTTCTACTATCATTTCGTGTATATCTTGTGCGACGTCGTTCTTTCTGCGCCATAGTTTTTATGCATTTAATTCATCTTGCTTTTAGCGTTGCAGCAGATGACAGAGTTGTATGGGGAGAGACAAAGGTTGATATGCAATTTGCATGGGTGAGGTTTTTATTATTTTAGTCTTTTATTTTCCGTTTTGGGTTTTGTGTGTTTTTTTGTGCATTTTCTGATTTTTAAACAAGAAAAGTTGTTCATAAGAAAAAACAATTTTTTTTTTGTTTATTTGTGGAAAAGATACGGATCTAGAAAGATCGATCGGGAAACAGTAGAGTTCTTTGCTCATCAAATCGAAAAAATTTTGAGAGTGACGGATTCTCTCTATATGTAAACATATAGAGAGGGAAGCATGATAGGATCGGAATATTCAGAAGAAGGTGGTGGAAAGTTGTTCCTCTTCATCAGATGAATATACTTCTTCTAATTCTGATGAAGAATTAAAGGTCGGTTGATTAAAATATCTCTGTATGTGCATGCTTGAAAGTACCATTTACTGTTGTATGCTTTTATTGACATAAATTTAATTTCCTGTCATTAGATTCTTATAAAAATCATTATTCTTATTTTTTTTTTTTTTTTTGCTTTTGTTTTTAGAGTATGGATAATTTGTTTCATTCAATGTTTAAAAAAAAAAAAAAAATTGTGAGTTGTGCTTTAAGTAGTGATAGGTATTTAATGGTGTTTTTATTGTTGTCAAAAACTCGCTCTTAAAACTATAGTTGCACCTAAGAAATCAGTTTGACAAATCTAAAATCTTGTGTGTTATGCATGAATGATTTTATTTTTATTAATAGCATATATTATGATATGATTAATATTATTAAAGTAAGAAATTTATATATGATAAATTACTAAATATAAGTATGGTAACATTTATTTAAATTTGAGAAAAGGGTCAAATAAGCCCCTAAACTTCACCTTAAAGGTCAATTAGGCCCCTCAACATTAAAAAAAGGTCAATTAAACACTCAAACATATTAAATTTAGTCAATTAAACCCAAAAACCGGTAAATGACCTGTTATTACAGGTCATTTTAATTCCGGCGACGGATTCCGGCCATCGGGGACAATTTCCGGCCACCGACGAGATTTTCCGGCGACCGGCAAGATTTTCCGGCCGTTCGGTCGTCTTCCACTGGAGAAGACGACCGGACGGCCGCCTTCTCCAGGCAGGCGGCCGTCCGCCGCCTTCTCCAGTGGAGAAGACGACCAGATCTGGTCATCTTCTCCATTGGAGAAGATGACCAGATCTGGTCATCTTCTCCATTGGAGATGACGACCGGACGGTCGTCTTCTCCTGTGGAAGACGGCCGGAAAATCTCTCCGGCCGCCGGAAATTGTTGCCGCCTGCCGGAAATTGTCACCGGTGGCCGGAATTAGTCACCGGTGGCCGGAATCCGTTGCCGGAATTAAAATGACCTGTAATAACAGGTCATTTATCAATTTTTGGGCTTAATTGACCCAATTTAACTTGTTTGAGTGTTTAATTGACCTTTTTTAATGTTGAGGGGGCTAATTGACCTTTAAGGTAAAGTTTAGGGGCTTATTTGACCCTTTTCTCTTTAAATTTTAATGAAATTAAAATATAATCCTCATATGTGGTGTCCCGCCCAAACTTTTATTAATATAAAGTTATTTTTGTCCCTAACTTTTTTCCAACTTTATTTAGTTATTTGACTATTCTTGCCATTTTAGGACTTTCTGGATTGAGAGGTGGTTGAAAGTACTATTGGAACTTTGGAGCGTAACAAGCAATGTGATGCTAAGGATGGTAGATCTGTTAACTAATTGACTAATTGATATGTATTTAAAAAGAATAACTGACTAAGAATAAAAATTGCACGGAAATTAAGTCAATTGAAAAAGGAAATGAATGTTAATAATTGATTGAAAATTAAAAATGATCCAAAATTAACTGAAATAAAGAAGGAAATGGTCAAACTGTCCAAACAATAATATATATAAATTGGAAAAGGAATCTGTTTTTAATATTTGACTGGAAATATTAAAAAATAATTTGTTATTAATAATTTAACTAATTAATATGAATTAAAAAAAATAATTGATTGAGAATAAAAATGACACAAAAATTAGGCCAATTGAAAAAAAAAAAAAAAACTAATATTAATACTTGATTACAAATTAAAAATATCCTAAATTGACTCCCATGGAAAAAGAAATACCCAGAGTCCTAGACCACTCAAACAATAGTATAGATAAATTGAAAAAGATATCCGTTATTAATAATTGATGACTGGAAATATTAAAAAAATAATCTGTTATTAATAATTAACTAATTGATATGTAGTAACAAAAAAATAATTGATTGAGATCAACATTTGATACGAAAATTAGGCCAATTAAAAAAGGAAATAAATAATAATTTTTTGAAAGGGGAAATAAATAATAATAATAATAATAGATTAAAAATTAAAAATTAAAAATTAAAAATGATCACCGATTAACTATTTCGAATAGGAAACTAATTAACTATAATATAGGTATTATATGGGATACATATGAATCCGAGCTCATTGATTTCTCATATGCAAATTATATCATGCACCGGGTGCATAATTGATTATGCACCGCGCATCAAAACGACGTCGTTTTATTTAATGAAAAGAAACAGAATCTTCGCAAAAAATAACTTTGTTCTTCAGTTTCATTTTTGTATACACTGCAGTTTCAATTCAACACAACTACAGTTTCGTTTCGATATAACTACAGTTTCATTCAATATTTAAACACTCAACTATGTGAAAATGTTATTTAATTTTATTTTATAGACGCTATAGTTTCATTAAAACACAACTACATGATCATTTCAATATAATTACAGCTTCATTGTACAATATACACTCAAATATGTGAAATGTCCAGTTTTCAATTTATATATACAAATGTCGTCTACAAATAGGTTTCAATAATGTGTAAATATAACCGGTGATATTATGTTTTTTAATGGAAAAATTGCTATATATCTAGACAAAAAATATATTTTCCATACAAATGAATTATGATATCAATTCATTCCTATAACTGAGTTGCTAGAGAACGGGCACATTTGCCTAATTTATAAAAATACTGAACAATGATAAATAAAATTTCCAAAGTTACAACACTGCATGCGTACGTCTACACATTAGCTATTAATTTGAGCAATTATTTGCTCAAATTCAAGCATTGGTAACATAAAAACACATAAACGATCCAAACTATACATTCAATTGCACTATATAATATTTGATGTTCTAATTTAAATAATTATATATCGATCCAAATATTCTTAATATATTATAACAAATCCATTCCGTGCATCGCACGGGCGCAAATACTAGTGTAATTATATAGAAAATGTATTTGCAACGTCAAACACACATACAAGAAGCAGCAATCCTTATTTGTACGCTATATGGAAATAAAATTTTGTCCGGATAACATTTATCCTAATTTGATTTGGTCAATTCGCTAATATTAGAGGAATATCTAAATTTGTAATTTTGTAATAATTAATTGAAGATATTAACCTAATCTGAAATAATCTCCACCTTTATTATAAGGTGTGAAAGTAGCTTTTAAGGAAATATAATTATATAGAAAATGAATTTGGAACATCAAACGACACAAACACACCTATAAAAAGCGGCAATCCTTAAAATGAATTATTATATTTGTGATCGTACATAGAGTTGAGTTTATAGGATAACAAGATGAATTCTGGTAGAGTTTGCTTTTTCATGCTTCTTGTTGTCATTGGCCTCTCTATTGCGTCAAACACAGGTATGAGCATCTTAAAAGTTTGAGTAAAAAATGGCTTTATTTTTCAACCATGCTATCCGGTTTTTGAGTTGATATTGGATTATATGTTTTTGTTTTTGGTTTCATGATCTGATCTATGCGGCGAGATAGTAGTGGCAGATGACTTTTGCATTGATACGTGCGTATTGCCTGGTGGAATAGAGACATGCATTTCATTGTGCGTCGCTAGGCGTTTCAACAACGGTATATGCTATAAACAACCAGATGGGGAGATCCTTTGCTGCTGCAAGAAATGAAGACTGTACTCAATATTAATTACCTATTTTAATTTCTTACGTTATTCATCACATTTCCATTCATTATAATGCATTTTAAACTATTTTGGAATGCATCTCAGCTCGTCTTGGCTTCAAATATGCTAATAATAATATAATCATTTTGGCTCACTAAAACTTATTTGCAGTGTGATGGATATATATATATATATATATATATAGGCTTCGAATCCGGTGCACCCCTATTATAGATGAAATCATGAGATCTCCTAATAGCCATTGATTCATTCTTCATGAATGGTGGAGATTAGAAGAGAATATTCAATTAAATAAGGATATATTGAAACCAAAAGGGTTAAATAGTAATTGTAGTTATTTGTTTAATTATGGATAGATTTGAATTGGAATCTTTTAGATTATTTTTAGGAGAATATGAATGGAAATGGATATTAATAATTATTTGACGACCTGTGTTGATCCCTTAACGCACCACTGGGAGTGTATACCTGAACCGGGAGGTAGTAGCGCAGATCAAGAATAAGGAATGACATCTAGCAACTCCGGTATGTGCATTACTTTTTTTCGGTCTGTGCATTTTTCAAGTTTCATTTTTTGTCGTGATTGTTCAGAATACATCGTAATACAAAGAACATAGAATGGGACGTGTGTGCGTGAGTAACCTATTTGTTAGAGTACGGTAGGACACATAATGTTTAAAGAGGTATTGGTAATGTAAATTATAGATTGTGATGTTGGATGATAAGATGAACATAGGTAGATGCATATTTGTCAACAGGCGTGTGCATTACTTTTTTCCGCTCTGTGCATTTTTTTTTTTTGTCGTGTTTGTTTAGAATGCATCATAATACAAACAACGTAGAATGTGACGTGTGTGCGTGAGTAACCTATTTGTTAGAGTGCGGTAGGACACAGAATGTTTAAAGAGGTAGTGGTAACGTAAATTATAGATTGTGATGTTGGATGATAAGACGAACATAGGTAGGTGCATATTTGTCAACAGCGTGTGCGCATGAGGCGGTTTTTTTTAGTGGCGTATTTGTTTTTTGGGTGAGGGAAGTAAATGACATTGGTGTTTTGGGGTGTTTGGTTATGGAACGTGCGTAAACATGATTCGGCCGGAATGAATGGTATGGGGTAGACTGTGCAGGAGTAAGGGGCGTTTGGTTTTTTGGACTATGATGCATATTATGAAAGTAGTTTGTGCATAGTAATTGACCGGCGTGTGCGTATGGGTGGTTGTGTGTGCATTTTAGTAATGGAAGCGTGTGCGTTTGGCTGAACGGAATGGTGGGTGTGAGTAGCGTGAAATGCAATGCTGTGCATTGGAAGGGCGGCGTGTGATTAGTTAGAGGTTAAAATGTCTATCGCACGTTTATTTTGAAAATAAATCAGAAATTAAATTACAATTAAATTCAAATACACACTGTTAAACAACACAGCAATCTGCACAGACTGGTTGCCCTATACTCACATACATTTGTTTTTTATATTATCACAACCTATCAAGACGAAGATAATTGAGATTAGGCAATTCATGATCAACTAATAACAATACCAGTGTCCACACTAGCTACCACTAAACATTAGTACAAACCATGTGATTAGGTATATGATAAAAAATGCATTTCTCCAAAAACAGTAATATGCACATGCTGGTTGCCTTATATGCACATAACAAAACACAAAAACCACACCACGCACATCATGCAAGCGTTAAATCACTTAATTGGATTGACGAGATGCTTAGGGGACGCACGAATCTTAAGGGGGGGGGGGGGCGGGGGGGGGGAGGGATAATGCATCATCAACTACGTCAATGCCAACTCCAACTCAATAACCGTCTTCCTTTGGCAACCATTAAACCGCTTCATCGGTTTCACCAGATGCTCCGGGGCAGCGCGAATCTTCAGAGGGGGGAATATTGCCTCATCAACTTCATCGGGCTCAACCCTGAGCCATCTGAATCCGTGGCTGGTTGTGCGGGCTGAGGCGGCACTTGGGCACCATCGGGATGTGGCAAAGCTGCCACCACATCGCCAGCACCGACCAGCTAACCACAACAACAACTACCAGCTCAACCACAAAATCACCTGGGGATGGCAAATATTAATCACAAAAACCAAACAAAAAAAAGAACAAAGAAATACAACTGCATGACAGCATAGAACTGATAGAATAAGGACATACGCACAAACCCACAACCAATAACACACACACCTGATTTCACAAACCACGCAAAGACCGCCAAACATTAAAACATACTAAAGTCATATCTAACTCTCTGGTCTCTTTATCTTTTCATCATTTACTCAGAAATAAAACCTTTTGAGATAACAAAGGAAAAAACATGAAGACTGCCAAAGATCAGAAACACTAATTTTTGAGATTCAGAATGCTACTAATCAGTTAAAGAAACAAGATCAATGCAACACTATATTATTGAAGCGGTATGAAGAGCACAGGTAAGGTTTTTAATCATATCATTATCTTTTTCTTTATGATCTGGTGAACCATCACATAAGCCTTCAACTTATGATCTAATTAAGCACTCAAGCACCATATTTAGAAGAAAGAATTAATTGACAATTTAATCAAGATCATCTACTCGTTCAGGTCAAGAATAGCAAAATCCACCAAAATATACACTGCCATTTCCGCAAAAAAGGAATTTCGAAACCGAGCACATCTCGATCAAAACAAAAACACGAAGTGGCATTTCTCAACAAACTAATACACACAAACCACTACCCGTAGCCGCTGTACCCCCCGAACTCCCAACAAATAATAAATAAATTAATAAACACGCACCGACCCAATACCAGTAGCGCACCAACCTAAATGTAAAAAACAAAACAAAAAAAAAACTAGTGCCAATTAGCAACTAAATTTCACCCAAACTTGCACAAGGTAACATACTACTACGCACGAACCACCACACCTAACTACGCAGCCCCAAAAAATCCAAAATAATAATAATAATAATAATAATAATAATAATAATAATAATAAACACGCACCGACTCAATACCAGTGGCGCACCAACATAAATGCTTAACCGACAACAAAACCAGCAATAACAAATACCAACAACATTTAACCTAACCATATGGATGAAACACACAACCACCCTCAAGAAAGCAGGATATAATTATAACAACCATAAATAGGAACATCAGGTAACTGTTCAAACAAAATTCAACCTTGAAAAAACAGTAAAGCATCACAATGTTCAGATCAACTCTACACAGACACACACAAATAAAGCCTATAAATTTCTGCAAGAAAAACCTAATAAAAGAAATTGGTATTACTAACTTTGTTGTACATGTTTGATCTTGATGCAACCCACCCAAGAACAAATAACAAAGAATATAGGGACAGGGTGTAGGAGTTTACAGAGAAATAATTCATTTACTCTCTGAATAAATGAACACTGCAAGATATTTTTTGTCCTTAGTTTCCTGTCAATATTAAGAGTTTAACAGAGAGAAATAGGAAATAATTGGACTTGCAAAAAGAAAAGAAAAAACAAACACAAGTTACAGACCCAAAAATTTTCACACACCACCCCACAGAGAGCCAGAGAGGGGAGTTCAAGATTAAGGAAACAACAAGAATTGCCTCAACAGATATAATCTTTTCATGAAAGGAAAAGTATGGAATTTAGATCAGGAAAAAAAAAAAGCTGACTTACAACCACATCCGCCGCCCCCAACACCACATCAGGAAAACCCTTATGTTAAGAAAAAACCCAACACCACCAGAACACCCATATCAAAAAAAAATAATAAATAAATAAAATAAAAACGAAACCCTAACCCAGAAATCGTACACCCCTCACAACCACATCTGCCGCCCCCCAACCCCAAACCCAACCGATTGCACGAACACCACCCCTGTGAAAACCCAAAAAAAAAAAAAAAAAAAAAAAAAAAACTACCCAAACGAACAAGACAACAAACGAAATCCCACCCCAAACCCCCTACTGAATCGAACCACAAACCCACTCCCCCTGGCCACACAAACATAAAAACAAAAACCCACCTAAAACTAAGAAGAAATAAGCAAAGGTGAAGAAATTACCTTGAGCAGCACCGGACGAAGAACCCTTCAGATGCTTCGACCGCCTGGACGAAGAGCCGGTCATGGAGAAACAAGAATTGCATCGACGAGATGAAGGAATGAAGATTGATTCCAGAGTTCTTCTCTGCCGCGATGCTTCCGAGGAGAGGAGAGTGTGTGACTCCAAATAAACCACACACATAAGGAAACACACTAGTGCAGAATCAATTTTAAACGGAAAGAAAATAAATGCATATCGGAAATTACAGCCTTACCCCCAATAGTATATCAGAATGGGTTTAATTACAACATCATCTGAAGCGTTAAAAAATTAAAATCAACAATCAGGGAGTGTGCTCACGGGCTCGGCTGACTAGGGGGTGTGCACCGGATTCAAAATCTATATATATATATATATATATATATATATATATATATATATATATATATATATATATATATATATATATATATATATTAAAAGTTAACGCCCTAAATTCAAGTGCCTAATCAAAAATCAAAATCCCACATAATATTAATTAAGGGCCAAATTTATCCTAGTAGAAGTCAAAACTTTTTTCAAAATAGGCCTATTTCCAAGAGATATACTAAAGGGGGTGGAGGTGGGCCGTGGGGGTGACACTCACTTTGACCCATGGATGATAAGTGCAAGATCCTTGGTCATCTTTCCAGACTCCACAGCACCAATGCAAGCTGCTTCAAGCTTCTCGGTGAAATCCGAGAGTCTATCGTTGTTGTCCAACTTAGCCCTATTTGCATAATATTACAATCGTTAACTGCGTTATATATGTAGTGAGCAAAGCAATTAGTAGACAAACTCTATGCACATGTGTAAGCTTGGAAAATCGAAGAATGTTGTACCTGTGAGCAAGTCCTCGTGTCCAAGCAAAGATGGAGGCAAGTTTGGCATCCACCGTATAGTGGTGAACCACATAAGGTTTCTGCAAAGGCCCTAGGTTGCAAAGACCTGCCAAAAAACGGATAAATTCTTTGAGCAATTATTATTTGTTATAAGTGAGATTATATTGCCATTTCAGAAACAGTATGACCAACAGCAGAGTCTGTGAAGACTAAACGTTAAAACTCTATAAAGTTTCTAGAATAAATGCAAAAGGAGCAGAGAAGAACCAGATAATGAGACGGCAAACAAACACAATTTTGAAATTAAGAGAAAACAACAAAGGATTCCTGCAAAGAAAAAATGTTATATTTCCAAGTAAAAGCTGTTTAAGGATTTGAGACTACAATTAAAAAATGAGAACAATGCTAGAGCTAAATATATTTCCAAAATTTTATGAACAGCTTCTATCTCACTCTTCAAAGAATCCATCTTCAAAGAGAGAAAATATAAACCAGTATTATACAAGATTAAAGCAAGCTGGGTATCAAAAAAACTTTTGATTATTTTGTCCTGTCCTTTTAATTCCGATAAAAGGGAGGAAAAATAACATAAGAAGGGGAAAAGCCAAAGAGGGTATACTTAGATTAAAAGAGCTGACAGATAAGAAATCCATAGACAGAGGTATCCATTGACAGGAGTATTAGCTAAATAGAGTAAGAAAGGGAAAGAGATACACATAAAAGGAAAAAATTGTACAGTCAAAGCACACCCACTCTAAGAAAGAATAAAAGGAAAGAGAAAAGGTTTGTTTAGGCATCCTAACAGGAGTAGGGTGTTGACTTTCTAGTGAGATAACTTATGTGTAAACAAACAAATCAGTTATCAGTGTCCATAAAATATCTGCATTAGCTGTGATATATAGTGTTTCACTATTTCCCTCTAAATGAAATTCTTACTCTTTATATTATAAGAAAATGTTATCTTCACTAATCACATGAATGAACAACTTTCTATTCAAAACTTTTGAATTATCAAAGTATGTAGGTGTAAAGTAGACGCATACATACATGTGTCATTGTGCCAAACATAATTTGTGTGCTAGATGTGAAAGCAAACCTGTGGTTTTAAGATGGTGTCCAGAGATATACCTGACCACCGATGGTAGCACCAGCAAGCATCCCGACCTCATACTGGTGTGCATCAAAGCGCCATTGGATAGCAGGCATGTGTACACTTTGTAATTTCGAAACAATTCTCTTTTGTCTATTGAAATCATGTCAACTCCCCTTTGCAAGTTGCGAATGAATACATAGGAATCATCCTAACCCCATATAGCCCTGCTTCCCAAAAAAAAAAAAAAAAATCAGAACGAAAAAACGAATGGTGTTAATTCCAAACAGCAATGCATCCCAATTTAACAAACAAAACATGGAAAATCACAAATACATACCCAATCAGATTAAACAATTTATCATGCGCGTACATGAATACAAATAACTGATGCATATATTCACCGAAATCAAAGCATACTTTAGTCATGAGAGGTTTAATATAGTTCTCTGCTGCTTCTTGAAATTTATCACCCCTGAGAAAATCAAGAGGAATTTTCTGTAAAATGAGAAATATCACAAAATATAAAACATGTACAGGTTATAATAGTTCAAAAGAAAACAAAAAGTTTACAAAATAATATGAATTCTAGTGTTAGAAAACTGATATGTTATTGAACTTGACGAAGTGGAATCAATCATGGAAGGATGTATGAAGTTAGGTACATAGATACCTACACATATCCTTATGTAACCTAGGACTATTTGAAAGTGAAGGTCAATGCCCTAACAATAGATTAAGAAATAAAGAACCTTAAATGTATGTAACAACCTGTTTTTGCTGCCTGCTGAGAGAGTGAGGGGCGACCGGCGACCTGGTGCGACTGCTGCGACTGTGAAGGCGGAGGGCTGCTGCGAATGTTGAGGGCTGCTGGGCGCTGACTGCTGCAACTGCCGGACTGGACTAGCGACCTGGCGTCTGGGCGGTTTGTCGACTGGCTGTGGCAGAGGCGGAGGCGGAGGCGGGCGGAATGGCGGTGGCGAAGGCGAAGAAATCGCGAAGAGAAATCAATCTAGGGTTAGTGTTGGAGAGTGTTGGGCTCTTGGCTGTCATCTGATGCTGTTGACCATGTCTTTTTGTTTTTGAAAAGCTGACTATGTCTTTAATAGACTTTTTTTTTTTCTTTTTAAAGTATGTCTTTCTAAACATTTAAACTGTAGAAAAAAATATTTCCGACAACTTGTGTGGTCGCAACAACATTTTAATTTAAAAAATTACATTTGGACGAAATATTTCCGACCACGATTTAAATAGTGATCAGAAATACCGATCACTTTCCGACCACTCTAACTATCCGTCGAAAAAATTTAAAAAACTCACTTTTTACGACCAACTTTTTTGGTGGTCGGAATGAGGTCGGAAAAACACTAATTTCCAGCAGTGAGGTAAGTTAACAACAAAATAAACTCATTTCTGTATGCATATCTTATTTTTATCTTCTTTAATTTATAAGGGTGAATTGAAAACCTCTTGGTCTGAAAATATGCACCCACCAATCCTCAAGATAAACTGCACCACATGATTTAGAAGACCATGGAAATAGGTACCATGATGCTGCCTAAAAACGTAACCTCCAGTCTAGCTCGGTAGGCACTGCAAGGTTGGGAAAGCGCAAGTCTTAGGTCGGTCAGGCTCAGCTTGCTCAAGGGGGGGCCGTTACCGACCACCATGCATGCACAGTATTTGAGGAATAATCCCCATCACAACCCATAATCCTAAACATAAAAATTAAAAACAATTTATATATATATATATATATATATATATATATATATATATATATATATATACATATATATACATATTAATTTATGTTAAGTTTTCTTTTAAATTTAGCTTTACACGTTTATATATTTATTTTCAACTATTTAACTTAAGAGTTTTTACAAGAAAATAATGAAGAAATCGAATATTTATTAATGTAATACAATTAATAAGAATAAGTTTACAAATTGAACCTACAAACTGCTAAGTACTTTTTTTCAATTTGAAACAAATAAAATGTTACAGCTTTAAAATATTTTAAGGTAGTAATTAACTAATTATTATGTAATTAGTATGCTAGGTAGACAATCCTCACGTTTTTACAAGATGACCATGTTCTCATTTGATTCTGCCTGTGTGTGTATATTCTTTTAAAAATGTACGTGTCAATAATGTCTATAAGCTAAAATTTAAAGTCCAGTCTTATCCGTAGTAACGTAAAATGGGCTAGGCCCAATCCTTCTATTGTAGCAAATAGACTAGGCTGGCCATGCCAACCCAAATGGGTCGAGTCTGGATTGGACTTTGGGCTAATTTGTCCATTTGACATTTCTAATCTAACATGACTATATAGATTTTTTTTTTCTAATGTGGGGTAAGTCGCTTAATTCATGGTAACAAATGAATTAAAAAAAGTTTTATTTATATGCTATATGGTAACAAATTTTTGTCCCTATATCTTTATCCTAATTTTATTTGCTCAATTCGCTAATATTAAATGCATATAATTAGTAATTTTGTAATAATTGTTTGGAGATATTTTTCTAATTTGGAATAATCTCCACGTTTATTATAACGTGCGAAAGTAGATTTTTAAAGAAATGTAATTATATAGAAAATGTATATGCAACGTCAAACGACACAAACACACATATAAAAAGCGGCAATCCTAAAAATGAATTATTTGTTATTGTATGGTAGAATTGAGTTTATAGGATCAAAAAAAGGCTTTTCGTAGAGTTTGCTTTTTCATGCTTCTTGCTGTCATTGGTCTCTCTATTGCGTCTAACATAGGTATCAATATGTTCTCTCATCTCTTAAATTTTCAATAAAAGATTTATTTATATGCTATATGGTAACAAATTATTGTCCCTATAACTTTATCCTAATTTTATTTGGTCAATTCGCTAATATTAAATGAATATAATTAGTAATTTTGTAATAATTGTTTGGAGATATTTTTCTAATTTGGAATAATCTCCATGTTTATTATAACGTGCGAAAGTTGTTATAAATATTTTATTAGTGGCCATTAAACCATTAGACCTTTCAATAGCTTAACCTTTAATCATGTATTGATGTTGAGTATGTGAAAGGTTGTATGAAACCTTATATAATGGAGTGAAGGCTAATGAAATGGCACACATATTGTTGTGCCCCACATTTGGTGTTCTTCTTCTTCTTCTCCTTTTTTTCTCTTCTTTACGTATACACGCATACATATATATGAACCTCCGGGCGAGTTACCGTGCAAACATCACGTGAGAACTGAGCTAGTTGATAGGCCAAACTACAACACGTTATCAGCACGAGTCTCTATTGTAATCTCCGGTGAACGGTACTATTGGTTCATTTTTACTATGCACTTTTGTTTTTGAATCATATGCCATTGTTTATATATAAATATTATGTGTATATATGGCTATGAGTTTGGTTTGGAACCTTCAATTATTGTTTCTATGAAATGAGTGATAATTCTTCATATTTGTTAACAACTTTTGAGTTATGAACTCATCATCAAGACATGGTTAAGAATTTGGGTTAATACTTGAATTTGTAAATACATATTATTTTTATTTATTCTCTCAATTCATGTATATGAGTTAGGTTCTACATATGCCATGATGCTTTGAAATGGTAAATACATGCGGTTATATGTTAAATTGTATGTATGTACGTGCAAATGTAAATGTGTTCATCTGTTTATATATATATGGGTTAAATATACACATGTTTGATATTTAACAGGGAAACAATGATTCTTGCACTATTCTCCATTATTGGAATTTACTATATTCACTTAAAATGACTTCATGCCTTAGGAAAAGATAATATTTACTATATTGATTATGTAGATTGATTATGTACTATTCCCCATTTTTGGCATTTATGCTTCTTTTGAAAAATATATATATAAACTGACTACATGGAGAGATATGAATCTGTATGAGAACATGTGAAATATTCCCTTTTCACATTCTATTTGAAATTTGCTTACAAGACATGTTTTTCACATGAATATCAACTACTGTTTCTGTAAGTATAAGTTGCATCAAATGATGATCTTGTAGATCATGCCTTTCATTGAAAATGTAAATTTATTAAGCTCACTTATGAATGAAGCAATTATTTATCTTGAGCTCTTGATATTGAAATATATTCGGCATCTAAAGAATTGAGCCAAGTTTTTTGTTGCTAAGTCACAGAGCACCCGATGCCTAGAAGGCACAAGCTCTCATTTTCATACGTCACCACTTGAACCACAACCTTAAAAAATGAGTATCTGATTGAAAAAAAACCCCTTGAATTAATAGAAGTCCCTGAAGGACTATTCCGACCAGAAGTCATCAAATGTTCTTCCTTAGACACATTTTGACTAGTTTAATCTCATGTTTAATTTTGAGATTATAATATAAGTAAGTGATTAATTATAATTCAGCTTTGCACAAAATAGTCTCGCAAGTGAAACTCTAAACAAGAAGTTTCAGAGAAATATTTAATTGGAAAGACATTGCCAACTTTTCATGAGAGTAATTTGTACTCCAGCAGTAGTACAAGACACAAAATTATGAGAAGTATCCTAAGCTGATTTTAGCACTCCTTGTTGCTAAAAAACATAAATAGTTGTTGACGAAGAATCAAAATGCATGCCTGGTTGGGTTTGCAAAGGTGCCTGAAGCACATAATATTACCTAGTTGAGTAACGTTATAAGGGGATGTGGTCGAGATTATAACCAGTGTGGTATAAGTTTCGAGCTCAGAATAAGAAACAAAGTGATCAAGATATTCAAGGACGACCAAACTTATCGAGGCAAAATCTTAGCCAGAAGCAGATTTGCTAACAATGTGGGTGTGAAGGGCATTGATCCCTACGTGCCGCACACCAAAGCATTTGGTCATCGGAGAATGAACATCATCTTGATGATTCTAGCTAATTTGCCTGAAGCAAATATTGCGATAAATGATGAGAATGAAATGATGAGGTATTGTTGAAGAAATGATTGGTGTCATGATAATGTTTTTGAACAATGCATGAAAATATATTCATGGCCGAAAAAGTTAGTTCATGCCTGAAGCATGAAGTATTCGAGTAGTTAGCTCATGCTTGAAGCATCCAAGAAGTTAGCTTATGCTTGAAGCATTCGAGAAGTTAGTTTATGCTTGAAGCATCCGAAAAGTAAATTCATGACCGCAAT